TCATTACGAATGTTTGGCTGAACATGAGTATTTTAAAGGCTTGTCAGTGTTTAAAGGCTCATGAGTTGTGTGCCTTGAGGATACTGGACATGGAGAATGAATGGGGAAATGGACTGGGTATCAGAGATATGAGGATGCATGGAAGAGGTACTGGATATAAGGAGATGAGGGATGTGGCACGAAGTAGGATCAAGGGTGGGTGTGGTTGAGGCTGGTGAGAACTAAAGTAATTAAAAACCACAAACTGAAGCGGACTGCTGTCTCAGTGAATGGAGGTGGGCCTTCTAATCATCCAGCCTTGAGATCTTCCCAGCTCTGTTCTTGCAGGCAGTAAGAGGCAGCATTCCTGACTCCAGCCAGCATTATAAACCATACAACAAACTACTAAGTGAGTGAGCTGTATTTAGAAGTCAGGAATACAACATTGGCGAATGGCCTGACTTGCCGTTCCTGAAGTAATGCAATTATATTGGCGAGGTGAGGCAAAGAGAGAGACAGAAAGACAGGGAGACACAGAGAGACAGGTGTATGCAGACATATAGATGGGTGAACAGAAGAGTTAGTATTGGACTGCAGTAAAAGAGCAGAAGGCAACCAGCGAGTGCAGAATGAGGAATTGGAGATGCAAAGCAGGTTAGAGACTAAATCAAAACAGCAAATGCTGAAAATATTCAGCAGCTCTGGCAGCACCTGTGGGGAGAGAAACAGTTAATATCACAAGTCAAATTTGACTCTTCAGCACTTTAGAGAGAAGATGACTAGGAGAAGTGGGAAGTTCAAATCAAGTTAGAAGGTGTGGATATAGGAGATGCCACAGATGGAAGATGAGACAGAGGAAAGTGGAAGGAAAACAAGGCACAGAAAAAAGGATAAATTTATTTTGCAAATAACACAGGGTACAAGCTCATGTACTTGAAGCAGATTACAAAGTTGTACTGTACTGTGTCTGAGCAAAGTATTTCCCGACAAGTTTAAAATAATTTTTCACAAGTTTCTATTTACGTCTTCCGCTCCTACTTCACTGGCACACTTTGAAGTAATCTGGACGAGTTCCCCTCCTCCCTTAACCACTTTCCTCTAGACTGTAAAGCTCAAATTTCTCAAGTCTTTTTTCATAGTTCATGCCCTTTACAACTGGGATCAGTCTTATTGCTTTTCTTTGTAGCCTTTCCAACATGTGCATATCTTTTATGTGGCACAGTGGTCAGAAATGTACTCCAAGTGTGGTCCGACCAGTGCACTGCAGAATTTCTGCAGCATTGTATTCTACAGATCTGGTTCTTTATTCCAGCATTCTCTTTGCTTTATTACTTACATATGGAAGAGAATTAGCAATTATCACACTCAAAACACTGTCTCCCTATGCTAATCCTATTCTGTAACACTTACTTGACTCGTGTTAAGTTTAATTTGCCACTTGCCTGTTGTCTGTAACTAATCTAAATAATGTTCAAAAGAAAAATGTAGCTGTATTCTCTTTGTGTATTCTTGTGACTTCTGAAAGAAGGGAGACACATTATATCTATTGAATACAATAAAATTGGTGCATTTCACTGGGAAATGGCCTATCCTGCACTTGGTGACAGAGAAAAAGAAACTGATTTTTTGTGTGCTTAAAACAGAGATGTTCTTCCAGCAGAAACTTTGTTAAATAAATTCTTACCTAGGGTGGCCTATACATTGGAACTTTAGATTCATAAATGCTAGCCTATCGAAAGAAAAAATTGGAACTGCAATCACATCCAGCAAAAATCAAAAAGAGAGAGAATCCTTTAGATAGTGGAAAGTATTTAAGTGATCTCTTTTTGCCAGTGCCACCTTTTCATTGCGTTGCTCGAGGATTTAACAATGACCTGGTCAAATAACATATCTACAATTGCTCAGACTTTGCTGAAATTGTTCTGGAGGCTTCTCCTATTTTGAAAATTTCCTTTATGCAGGTACCCCAGCACCTGCACGAATGGATTTTAATTATGGCAATATGTTGCCGAGAAGCAAGTGTCATCATGTCATGACAGAGTTGAATGATAGATGGACTATAGCTATTGGCAGCAAACCCAACATAAAACCAGGGATCTGATCAATAAATTAATAGCATATGAAATGCATGTACAATATTTACATTTAAAGTGGGGAATAAGCAGGAAACAGAAGATGATTTTGCATTATACCCAGTCTGAACTAATTGGCCATTTTGTACAACAAATCCTAACCTAATGATTATTCGGCAACTTTGTATAAACACAAAACATCAGGTTCAGCCTAATTAGTATATGATTTTACTCTTTTTGTGCTATCTAATTTGCCCACATCTCTCTTTGATCAATGTAACTGATCATGAAAGTCTATAGTGTTAATATATTGTGGCAAGGAATGTAGGCCGTTACAATTATACATCATGTAAAATTGTTCAATTAGTCATTTGGTAATATGTAGTAATATATTGAGTGCAAGAGCTTTCACAAAATATAGATTTTTTCCACCAATAAAATTGTTCATGTTCATTTTGGTGAGCAGACATGAGACAAGCCTAAATTGTACCAGTTTAAAAGGGGGTGTAACAATGTAGAGGTGGCTGTGCATAATTCTTTGAAGGTGGTAGGGTGCGTTAACAAAGCAGTTAATAAAATATATGGCATCCTGAACTTTATAAATAGGGGCAGATAGTACAAAATCCAGGAAATTATGCTAAACCTTTATAAAGCCCAAGTTTATGTCGACTACAGAATTGTGTCCAATTCTAGGCATTGTGATGTAAAGGCTTTGGAGAGGATACTTAGAGATTTATTAGAATTGTTCCAGGAATAAGATATTACTTGGATAAAGTGGAAAAACTGGAGTTGTCTTTAGACTAGTGAAAGTTAGAGGAGATTTAACTTAAAAGGAATTTAAAATCACGACCGAAAGAACTACTAGTGCTGTAAATCAACAACAAAAGCAGAAGTAGCTGGAAAAGCTCAGCAGGTCTGGTAACATCTCTGAAGAAAACAGAGTTAACTCTAACTCTGATTTTTTTCCTTCACAGATGCTGCCAGATCTGCTGAGCTTTTCCAGCTACTTCTGCTTTTGTTCCATTTAAAATCATGAGGAGTTTAGAAAGAATATGGAGAGGGGCCTTTTCCACTGGCTAAAGTTTAAGAAAAACAGGACACAGACATATGGTGATTGCTGTAAGAACCTGAAGTGATAAGAGGAAATTTTTGAAAAAATATATCGAGTGGTTAGGAATGGGGATACACTGCTTGATGGTGTGGTGTAAACAGAATCAGTAGTAGCATTCAAAAGGAATCTGATTAGTATAAGAAAGAGGAAAAAAATGCAGAGATATGGGGAAAGGCCAAGGGAGTGGGACTGACAAACAGTGGCACAGACTTGGTGTGCCGCATTGCCTTCTATACTATTGGTGGTTGGGGGGTGTTGTAGGGGGAATTCCAATAATGGATTCATCATATATTTGCAATCAAAATTTCATTCGATTTCTCAGTTACTTTGTAACAACTGTCATCTCTCTGCTTTGCTATCAGTACATGGATAAAATGGACTTTATTTTGTTGAATAGATAACACAAAGGCCAACTCATTCTTCATGTTGGAACAAGTGTTACACAAGGTGCAGTGAAAATTCTGTTTCTGGCCAGCAGAGGTCACTACTGCATTTCATTAACAATTGGTCCAATAGGACTTTGCTTCCTTTTTGCAGAAAGTCTGCTTTTGAAGAAATGCTAATCTTTCAGTTTTAAAACAAAGCCAAATGGCTTCTATTGCATCCAGCTGTACTGCCTAAGTATGCCTCTTCTATTCCCGTTCAACAATGCAAACAATTAATTGTGTAATGAGTCATAGTGGTGTTAATTTTTTACAGAAGTATGGTGACAAACTGTGATCAATTCTTGAGATGATAAGAAGCAACAAGTTATGCACAGTATACACAATTTGTACTACTACACAAATAAATATACCTAATTTTTCACAGTCTGTGGTTTTGTTTTAAACATAGGCAAGAAAAGAGGAACAGTTTTTGAATGTATCATCAACGAGCACAGAGAATGAAAAATGAGAAAGAAACTCAACACGCACATGCACACAATTGCACAGAGGCATAAATCACATCTATACCAAATTAATTAAATTGTACGATAGTCTAGATATGGCTTCAAGTAGTGTCAATTCTACAACTACTGTATTGCATCCTAGTGTGAAAACTCTCAGTGTTAGGGATTAAGACCAATTCTGGAAAGATCCAATCTATAACTTGATTGTTGGACTCCACCACCTCCTGACTCACAGTCCAAGTAAACTTTGTATCAAAAAATGACACATTTTTGAATATAGTCTGCAAGAATTGAGAGAGCCCACCAAATCATCAGCAGGGGTGATTTGCTATTGCAGCCAATCCATTTCCTGCTTAAAAAATGGGCACTCAGCAATGGAGCTTCAGAACTGACAGCAAACTGGCCAGTGATCTTTAAAGGGATTCCTGAAGGATATTTTTTTTAAAAATGGTGTTTAAAGTTTATGGAGCTATCTTTAAAAAGACAGGCCAGGAAGTGCACAAATGCCCCATAGGAATACTGCTGGTCATCAGTGGACCCCTCCCAGACTATTACTCCTCCCAACCCCACTGATCTACTACTTATTTCTAGATCTAGCCACCCCTGGACATGAAGGAATTCCTCCCTCACACTGTTCCCGAACTCCTCAAGCCCGTCACCCCAGTACAAGGTGAGCTGCCTATGGCTGTACTTGAATATTTAGCAGTTAGCGCAAATTTTGCAGCTTAAACTTGAACTTGAAAATGATAGGATGCTGGCTTCAAGCAGTGGTATGGGCACTAACAATTCACATTCACTTCTTTCAAATGCTGAATTTTCTCCATAAGGTGTTGCAAGGCACCATCCTCATGGTGAAAGGACAATATGTCAAATAACTGACTATTATTACATACGAACACACACACACAGCAACATGTTGACACTTAGATACAGAAAGCAGACAGCTTACCATCACCATTTTTAAAGATAATTCCCACTGGCTCTCCTCCCAACATTTTATTGTTGTACAATATCCAGAGAGGCTTCATTTTGGAATCCATATACCTGCATTTGTCTATACTATGAAAATCAAGAAAAAAAACAAATCAGTACCAAAAGTATATTGCTTTAATTTCAAATCAACTAATGCCAAAGGTTAATTTAAAAGGAAGAAAAAAATACTGTTTTAGGTAGATGGTGAAGGATAAACCTTACTTCCAAATGCTTGTATAGATTTGGCCCAAACAGATGTAGTTTACCCCTATATATCTGGTAGTGATGAAAATAACCTCTAATCTATCACAAAAAACTGTTTTAAGCCCATCTTTACTGCAGTACACTCAAGTATTCCAGTATTATGCTGAGGAAATTAATGTCTCCAAATTGCTGACCAAGTCACAGTCCGACAAAGCAACAAAGTTTAAGGATTTGCAAACTTTTGATTTATATGGTTCAGACCCAGGCAGGTAATTCTTTAAATGGTGAAAAGCGCAATCGGGTAATATCCCACAGACAGCTCTAAAACAGAATCATCTACTGCTTAAGTTAATGCATATTTTGCATTCTTGACCAGTTTATTTGTGGGAGTTAATTGAATTCCTTCAGTCAGCATCAAGTTTACATGCTCGTGACATTCTAGTGAGGTCAATATGCATTTGGAACAACTTCAAATACAACAACATTTTCTCTTAGACTTTTTAACAAAGTAGAAAATGAACAGACTTACTTCAGTTCTGAAAGGATAACACTGGGATTCAGTGGTGACTGAATGTTGGACAATGCTTCCTGGTACACAGGCTGTTTCAAGCAGGTATGAATCACATCCTTCAACTTATTCTTTGCCACCTTCAGTGAACTGATTTTCACAAGACTATTGATAGCTTTCATCTTACTCAGAGCTTCCATCTGGAATCATAAAAATAATGCATAAGATTCATAGAAACACCCAAATAATCTGTCCTATATGATACTGGCAATCAACAAGTTGATAATATATTTATCTGAAACATATTTGCTGTTTTAGCAGTACCGCTAATTGGTTCCTTACCATGCACTCTTAACACAGTTATTACCAATGGCGTACAGTGCTTTTGTAGCTGACTGCAACCATGCCAATTCTAGGGTGTTCAAAATTAAAATAAAAGCACATATCAAGTGCTTTTGAGTCTAAGGATGTACTTAGTGGTCTAACATCACTTGTTCCTGATCATGTTCAGAATGTCCTTTCTGTTCATTGGTCTCAACAGCTTTTGAAATATTTCATTTTTAAAGAAAATTCAAGTTCACTTTTTTTTTTAAAAGTCAGAAGATCAAAAAAACTTTGACGGCAAAGTTGTCAACAATCACGTTCAACTTTTCAACCTGGATAATTTCTAAACCGCTTAATGCGGTGGTCTCAAAATTAATTGAGTCAATTTGTTTTATACAGGATGAGGCCATATCAGCAGCTGGTGGGAGGAAGGGCAAGACAAGAGCAATGATAGAATAACCTGACTGCTGAAGCTTATTAAAATATAATTAGCTCAAGACCAGAGTTCAGCTTGTGTTGGTTATCATGCTGATTCATTTCTCTTCTAACTGCCCCACCCCCATCCCTCCCCAGCCAAAAACTGCTTCTCTGCATTAATGGCAGATACTAGGTTCCATAGTTTAGCACAATGTGAGCCACATGTCCTAGCAATCTTTATAAATACTCTCTTCCTACTTCATTAGGCCAGATGATACAATACAAATGTAGCTAACCACAACTATATCTGGAAGCATAAGTCTTGAAAACATGCAACTAAAATGTGGAGGAAAATAATTTTAGTCAAGCATGCACATGTGAAACTCCCCCATGAATGGTATTTTTTTAAACAAAGTCCATAATTATAATAGGTACTACACAACTTTCCTTGTGTAATGCATTTTCAGGCAGATTTAAATTCAATTTTTAAATCTTGTAACAGATTGACATTCATTTTCATTAGCTCCCTTCTCACATACATCAACAGTTTGAGTATAAAATGAACTTGAAATAGCGATTCCTATTAATTTGGATTTTCTTACAAAAGATCATGAATGTCATTAATTAGGTTTTTCAATTTTTCTTTCCTTCCCTCTGATCATCTACACCAGTCCTCACCCCATCCCTGTGAAAGCAGTGCTTGCTGTGTGTGTTTGCAGAGAGGGTCTGGGCAGCAGGATATTTACGTTTGGGTGCATCACAAATGAGTTGGATTCAGATCTCACTTGACTGTAGAAGTGACCAGGAATGGGAAGTTTCACTTTGTCAAAGCTACTAAAGTGAACTGTAAAATCCCAATCAAAGTCCTGAATAGACCAAAATTTGAATTGTCCATTAACAGGGAACATGACTTTGGATTGGACTGTTGCAAGATAAATGTTCTCCTGTTAATGATTTGTTGCAAAACTGATCCTTCTTAGACGATGCCACGCTGTGCCCGTGACAAAACACAAACTGAAAATCTGCTATTTTCTGGCTTCTAAAACAGAGGAATTTTAATTCTCATCAATTGGTGAGAAGGAATGAAGAAGCAGTTAACATAGAGCAATTCAATTTCCTCCTGTCAATTATTCCAATATTGGTCAGAATACCAAAGTGGACTTTTTTTGTTTACTTTTATTGCCAAAATGTGTTGTTTTTAAAAAGGAGGATTACTACAGAAAAATTGCAGGTTTCATTTCAGTCACTGGTAAAATCCTAGATGAAGCCAATGGAAAGTCACATGTACATTATTGGGAAACTGTGATCTCACAATCACAAAGCAAACCTTCTGACGATGACCTTCTGTTCAACAGCAAACCGTCTCCTACGGGTGATGTCCCAAATTGCAAACAAATTCTCTGCTTTTCTCTTAGAATACACAAGGACGGGGCTTAAAACACCACTTCCAACTCCACTGGAGTGGATTAGTGGGACTAAATGCTCATGTATATACCAGCCTGCATTCAAGCATTAGTGTGCTGGGAAGATCACAGTTGAAGAACTATCCCTTAAGTCACTCTGTTTCACAGGGCTTCTCACACTCAGTGCTGCAAACCAGTTCTCAAAAAATGAATCAAGACAAAGGAACTCCCATTAGCCTAAAAATCCTACAAGTCTCAAAAACCAATTGTTCAACTGCCAATGTCAATGCTACCAGCAACCTACAGTAACAGCTGAAACATTTGGCCTGTTCATCATGAACAATTCACAGACTATCTATCTTTCTGAAATTTCTATCTTTCTGAACTAAACACTTATTTAAAATCTGTCCGTATTTATATAGCATTAGTATTTATTCTCACGTATAATAACTAGTAAACATGCTATTTTTGTTAATTCAAGAAAGCTTGGTTAACGGGCTCCTTAAAACAATAGTTCGTTTGGGTCTAGGAGAAATGTATCCACGAGATAAGGGAACCTTTTCTAAATTAACCTCATTGCACCCAACTGGGGGGTGGGGACGAATGAAGAAGAGGAGTCAATTCATCCCTCCTCACCCGCAGATTTAACAGCTTGGGGACCATCACCCAGGGCTTAATCCTGACAGATTCTATGATTTTAAAGCTATTAGTTTTGGCGGTGGATGAGTTTCCAACTGGATTCCATGGGATAGATGGGGACTACACAGGAGGTGCCTGTGTTCTCACTTGTGATTGCTATCCAGGACCCTGGCTGAAGGTGCTTATGCATGAATACATACATACAATAAGATTGATCATTCATATAAGTTACTAGGGAAAGCCTCAAATTATGGCTTTAGAAAATACAGGGTAAGGAGAGAAAACTGAAAGAGTTTTTTTTTTAAAAACAAGCATGCCCAACCGATTTCCAGTTGGTCTCAATTAAATCTGTATGCCCCACAATGACACTTTTATAAACAACCCCACTGACTATAATGGACATTTGCCAAAGAGAAACAGTACACAATTCACTGTGTTTACTTAAAAAAAAAAGTACCTTTTTGTATTTTCATTTCTAACCTACATGACAACATTTGAAGGAGTCTGGACTCAGCAGGAGCTTCATAAAGCTGCCTGATCCCTGAACTCAAAGGCTTCGCAGCTTAATGTTGTGCTGGAAAAAGATAGCACACTAAATATTCCCAAAGCATTTTACAGCACAATATAAAATTGTCAGTTGTGTTGACCTTGTAATACAGACAGCAAGACTGTACGTATTTATCTGAATAAGACACCACTCAGATGTAACAGCTGGAGAGTTCTGTGAATGACTGTTTTACAGCGAGTACACTATCGTGCATGGCTGCCAGATTACTTTGTTCCAGTCACTGAATTCCAATTTCCTGCCTTCTCATAACCCTCAATTCCCTTACTTAATAAAAATCAGTCCATCTCAGCCTTGAATACATCTAAAACGCAGCCTTGACAGCCCTCTTTGGGAATAAAAATTCTTCAGATTGGCCAGCTTCTGAGAAGAAATTCCTCTCTCATCTCTGTCTTAAATTGTGACCAACCCCCCACCCACTCTGATTATGCCCTCTGGTCTTCGACTCTCCCAAAAGTAGAAACAACCCCTCTGCATCTAACCTGTCATGGCCCTTTCAATAATGTTGCTCTCATTCTTTTATGCTCCAATGAAGTACAGGCAACTACTCAGCCTTTCCTCACAAGAAAATCCTTCATGCCTGGGATCAATCTGGTGAATCTTCTGTGGACTGTCTCCAATATCAATACATCTTTCCTTCGATAAGGTGTTTAGGTGTTTTAGGTGCAGTCTGACTAGTGCCTTGTATAGTTTTAGTAAGACGTCCCTATTTTTGTACTCCATTATCTTTGAAATAAAAAGGTCAAAATTCCATTTGCCTTCCCTATTACCTTTTGAATTTAAATGCTAACTTTCTATGATTCATACATGGGGACCCCAAATCACAGAAGCTTTCTGCAGTTTTTCTCCACTCAGCTCTGATATTCTTCCCATCAAAGTGCATAGCCTCACATTTTCACACATTATACTCCATCTACCAAATTTTTGTTCACTCACAATCTGTCTATAATCCCTCTGTAGACATTTTGTATCATCTTCGTCACTTGCTTTCCCACCAAATTTTTTCATCTGCAAACTTGGCAATAGTACATTCACTTTCCTCATCCAATTCATTACCATATTTTGTAAATAATTGTGGCCTCATCTCGGATCCTTGTGGCACTCCACTAGTCACAGGTTGCCATCCTGAAATCATGCCTGTTAGCCTAATTTCCTGTCTTCTATTAGTTATTCAACTGTCTTTTCTTACTAATATACTATCCCCAACACTGTGGTCTCTCATTAAATAACCCGATGTGCAGTATCTTATCAAAGACCTTTTGAAAATTCAAATATGTTACATCTACTGCTACCCCTTTAACAATCAGCATGGAACCTCCTCAAAGAATTCTAATAAATTTGTTAGGCATAATTTCTCCTTCATGAAGCTATGTTGACTTTGCTTGATTATATTATGTATTATTAAATGTGCTGCTATTATATCTTTTGTAATAGATTCTAACATTTCCGATGTTCAGCTAACTGTTACCTGTTTTTGTGTTACAAAGAGTGTTGCATTTGCATTTTTCCAATTCTCTAGGACTCTTCCAGCATCAATCAATTCTTGGAAGATTCTTACCAATGCATCCACTACCTCTGTAGTTACTTCCTTTAATATCCTGCAATGGAACCATCAAGGCCAAGCAACTGATTTAGCCCTATTAGTTTCCCTAGTACTTTTTCTCTAGTGTTAATTTTCAAATTTATTCCCTGCCCCTTCCCTCCGCTGCTGTCCTTTTATTATTTTAGTAATTTTTTTTTCCCCCCAATGTTACTAGTGTCTTCTACTATGAGAATTGATGCTAATTATTTATTCAACTCCTCTGCCATTTCCTGGTTTTGCATTATTATTTTCCCAGCTTCATTCTCTAAG